CGTTCGCCAATCTCATCTTCCGTAATGACCGGAGGCCCGATGATGTGGACACGTAACGATCGATTTTCCGCGTTCTTCGTTTCCACAGCGGGATCCGCCGGGCGAAAGCCATATTTCACACGAGGGTGAATGACCGACCGTGGATGGGCGCGCATCATAGCCGCATTGAAGGCAGCTTCTAGCTGCCGCCTCTGTGCCCCGTCGAGGTCATTAGTGATTACACCACGTACCTCAGGCGACGAGAAGTCAGGAAACGGACATGGGGTCCGCAAGGGGCAAACAGGGATCGTCTCACGCCGCTGGCGGCTCGCCTTCCTCGTCATCCCACGCGTAAAAAGTAGTGTCAGACACGTAGTCGACCAACTCCACATCCTCAACGAGGTCATTCGTCACTGATAGCGTGCGCGGAGCGCGACGCTTGTACTAATCGAGCCTAGGGTTTACATCCCTCGGTACCGCGAACGCACTGTCCGACATTGCACCGCTTGCGGGAGACGAAGTTCGGCTCTGCTCGTGCTCGCTGTCAGAACCAGCGAGACATGGTGACTTGAGTGTCGTTGAAACAGGGCTCATTGAGCACAGAAGTCGTTTTTTTCCAACGAACCAAGTTACAGTGTCTAGCGGACATGCAAGCCTCGTTGAGGCAATAATCGATTGGAACTGTAACGGGTCAGATTTTGATTTAAACGGAAGAGTTAATTAGCCGTGGGTTAAGGCGATAATTACTCTTGGAGTAAGCAGATTGCGATCCGCTAAACCCGTACTTGTTCTGAGAATAGAACGAGAGGTCAGTGACCGAACTTACGCTTCCTCAAAGCGCAAAGCTTCGGCAGCCCCACTGCATCTTAAGTTGCTGCTAGCCTTCCCGTCGTTTACCAATTCTTCCTTATTACCCACATTTATGAACATACTTACTCTATGTGGCCAATACGTAGCCCGCTTTTGCGATCACAACATCACATTTTGGCTTATCAGATGAATGACCCCGATGAAGTGTAGACATGCTGTTTTTGCAAATTGCTTTGTAAGTATGTTCTAATATGGATATATGTGATGAATGGATATTATAACTTCAGGTCTGAGGCTTACATCAAGATCCTCTTGAAAACTTTATTTGACTTGCCACTATAATTGAGCGATGATTATACAGACACCACGAGACTCATGTCATTCTACTAAACTAATACATAGAATTATATAAAAGCGGATCGAAACATTGGCATCATTGAGCTATATAGGGTTCTATTTTGATTCTCGATTGGTACCAAAAACACACCGAGTCGTGAATATCATTTACAGGATAATGAAGATAATATCGTGATAGCTCAATCAACCTATCAAGTACTAAATGTACTTAAATGGATGATATATATTTTCATCATGTTTTGTTGATAAAATCACACAACCTATGCAAAATGAAATAAAATATAATACAATAGACTTACTGGTACTTACAATGTACCTACCGTCTGGCTCCAGATGCTGGCCTTTTATTTTGTTGCTAGCCTCCTCGTCGTTCACCAAGTCTTCCATATTACCAACGTAAATGAACATACTAATGCTATGTAATCAGAACGAAGCCCTATCCTGATACCTCAATGTACCTGTCAAGTACAAAAATCATCAAATAACTAAATTGATCAGATAATAAATGTACTGAAATAGATAAAATAATTTCTCATCAATTTTTGTTGGAAACATCACACAACCTACTCGAAATGAAATAAAATATAACACAATAGTTCTACTGGTACTATCAATTACCTATCGTCTGGCTCCTGGTGTCGACCTCCTGAGTTGTTGCTAGCCTCTCCGTCCTTCATCAAGTCTTCCTTATTACCCACATATATAAACATACTTACTCTATGTAGCCAATACGAAGCCCGCTTTTGCGATCACAACATCACATTTTGGCTTATCAGATGAATGACCTCGATGAAGTGTAGACATGTCTTTGAGCCAATGAAAATGCTGTTTTTGCAAATCACTTTGTAAGTATGTTTCTAATATGGATATATGTGATGAATGGTTATTAAAACTTCAGGTTTGAGGCTTACATAAAGATCGATCTGAAATTTCATTTGACTTGCCACAATAATTGAGCGATGTTTATACAGACACCACGAGACTCATGTTATTCAACTATTCTGATATATAGAATGACAGAAAAGCGTGTCAAAACATTGGCATCATTGACCTAAAGTCAGTTGTATGTTGAGGCGCTGAAAGCGCGGTTGGGTGACATCATCACTGTTCACCTAGCGACGGGGACGCGTGTCACGGTCCCGAAGATCCCTGTGGACCTCGGAGTCACGTTCTTTGACTTTGATAGCGTGGAACGCTGTCAAGTATTAGACTTGGATGCAAGGTATGACCTCATCCTAGGAATGGCATGGTTGGAGCACTATGAGCATTGGATTGATTAGAGGTCAAAGACCTTGGGCGCTTTGCGCATGTCTCCTGGTGGAGCTTTGGCGAGTCATGAACCCACCTCTGCTAGGAGACAAAAGCGC